TTCTATTAAGTAGGTATAGCGAGCTACCTGAACAAGCAGTTACATCATTTTACACATATTTTTAAAAATGTTTGGTGATGAAACTGGAATTTTTGTTCAGGGTTATCCTGTCAGAAACTCACACTGGCTTATGCATGGAGTTAGCATTTAGCATTTGAAATGATGCAATGTTTTGTGTTAGGAGGGGGCATTCATCGTATCATTTATTGTGATAAATTTCTCATCATAAGAATTTTTTTTTCTGAACAGTAGTATTTGTGACTATTATTGCTGTGTCATTTGGTCAGTCATAAAGTTACCTAAAAAAGAAGTATTACCACTTTTATGTTTATCTCAATAATACAATAAAATATCATGAAATGATTAGCTTGTCATGAATATTGACCTGAATTTACAAAACGATGTTTTTAGAGGAATTTTTTGTTTTTGTTTGTTTTTTTTTCATTCATATCCCTATTACATCCTGTTCTAGGCATACGTCTATGTTCACAGCCAAAGAGTGAGAAGCAGGTTCATCCTGAGCAGCGAGCTACTTCATTTCAGGGCCAATTCAGACAAGCAAGAGTGAACACAAATACATTCTTTACAAAGGGGAATTCTAGAGTCAGTAATAACATAACAAATGTCTTAAGGCTGAAGAAAGCCGTACTAGAGGAAACGTACCAGGTAAACATTCAAAATCACAGAAAGACCCCAGCTGAGATCTGAACCCTGAACATGTCAGGTTTAAATCAACAGGGCCTCCATGCAGCCCTCTATCACTAATAGTTTGAAATGACTTCAAACACTAAAGAGTAGCAGAGACATAAAAGAGGAGTGTCACAATTCACTGTGTTTGTATTAAACTATATAAGTGAATGCATCAGTAAGAAGTGGACTGTATATTAAACCCCAGAAATACATTTAAAAATAACACCTAACACCTCTTATTTACAACAGAAAATCAATAGGTTATTTTGTTAAAAGTATAAATAATTGTGGCTTATTTCATTACACAATGTCATTTGTACCATTTTGGCCTATAGACTAATAGTTCAATACAGTTATAAAAATTTGCTCCCTGTGCAGAATGTGATAGTTTTGTCAGTCTGCTCTTTCTAGAGTAACTCACGCTGATGTTAGCTAGCTATGTTCTTGGGATATTGGCTCAGATAGAGATCACGTGATGTGCTGTTTAATAAACAAAATGCTGGTAGCTCACTAACTGCAGTTTTTAAATGGCGGTATCATACTGAGAGTGATGCGCTGTACTCCTTTAGTTTTTTTCAGGAAATCTGGAATTTTTTATGGACAGCCAAATGCTTTTTTTTTGTAAGAAAAGAAAGTTTTGGAGTCTTAATTTACCCATCTGACAGGCAAAGCCCAGCAACAAGCGCAGCTACACTATGCTTCCAACACCTGGAGAAAGCTCCAATCATATCAGCACTTTTTTTGGCATCTCATTAAAAGCACTTTAATTGTGATAACATATTTTGGTATGTTTTACCTCTTTTTTTTTTTTTTTTACTTAGAAGTACCCTGACACTGGCAACTGGCTTGGATATAGAAATATTTGTTATACACATATTGCTCTTGATGAAGCATAGAGCTGGAAATACATAAGTAGTCTGGAGAAACAGAAAAGAGGTTCATAAAGGGTTACTACTCTCTGTTCGATCTACTGAATTTCCGTCCCGGCTATCAGTCATCGATTATTCCCCTCTGTTTGTCCTTGCGCATCATCAAGTCAGCTACTTAGTTTTTCTCCCTTTTCTAGCACCCCTTGTAGACCTCCTTTCCTGCTTCAGGATATGATGTAGTGACGTTCCTGCCAGCACAAGCAGACTGTCCTTGTTCTAAAGTGTTTGCACATAGAAGAGATTACAAGGAAACAGCTTGCCAAGGGCAGGCAGCTGCTGTTTCCTCCAGTTTTCAACAATCTGGGGGGACAACTGCAGGATGCCATGGGGAAAAAGTGGCTCGGCGGCTCTGCTGCTGCTCGCAGGGAAAACCCTCTGGCGGGCAAAAGCCAGGTAGGATGAGGCATTTGTGGTCTAACAACCAGGTTTAGATTAGGAATTACTTGGACAGGGCTTCGGTTTGATTGTCCCTGTTATTAATGTTAGAAAAACTATTTTTTGGAGGGGAACCTTTATTAAAGTATATGTAAAACTGCTTCCATGTTTCTGATCCATAAAAAAATCAGTCACTCTGTGTTTGTGGTTCTGCGTAATTGACCGGAGCATACATATGCTGTCAAGAGTTGAGGATAAACATTTTGTTAATCTTGTTTGTGTAGTCTTAATTGTTACATTCTCTGAAAATTAAGAGGCTTTGTTTGGATTTCATCCACTAAGCTTAGTCTGCTGGACAAGCTGCTTTTGCACGTTGTTTATAGCAGTCCCTGAAATTAGCTGTTTGTTGTGGTTACCTTTTGTTATTCCTTACTGGTCCAAGTATAAAGATGGACAGCGTTATGCATATCCATTCTTCTCTGGGTGCCTGGCTTCCTGTTGATTCTTAGTGTTTCTGCAAGGTCCATTCAACTAGAAACAATCCCAAACACCCTGACATTTTCAGTAGTCCGTTTTTTTTTAGTTGGCGTGGAACATGTGCTTTGTTTTGTGGCTCATGTCGATATAGATTTATATGTTGGTTTAATTTGCTGCCTGAAGTTTAGCGTAGTGTTGTTCTGTCTTTATTTGTTACAGCTCTTACAGAAGAGTTTCAAAAGTTTAAAAAATCTGGCATGTTTGGCATTCATGTGCATTTTTCTCTCTTGAGTCATCACCTTGTAGAACCACCTGTGACTGGCTGGATGTTTGGAATATTCTTTACAAAAAATTTCAAGCTCATTAAAACAGAATGAAAGATGTCTGTGAATGGCAAGTTTAAGTCAATTGACTTAAATTGATATAAACCCCTTCCACTGCAACCGTAACACGGTAGCTGTATATTTAAGGGCGCTGTCTGATTTGAAGGTTAACCTCTGCCCCAGTCTTAAGTTTTTTGCGTCCATTAAGAGTTTTCCTCTGGGTTGACTTTATATTCTGCTCCACCCATCTTTTTATTTACTTTGGTCAGCTTCTCTGTCCCAGGACAAGAAAACACTGTCACCAGCATGATGCTGCCACCACCACCATGTTTCACGATGGAGATGTTGCGTAGTCCCCATTGTAGGGTGTGCTATGTCTCCTAAGATGGTTTGGTGCCATGTTTAAACTGGACCTTTTGTTTTAACAATAGTTTTCATTTGACACATTTTTGTAAAAATACAGAGTTCATCAATAATAGTTCTCTTTAAGTGGTTCTTTGTATTGAACAGTGTAATGTTCAGAGTTTGGGCTGTTGTTTTATAGCGTATCTGCTTATAAAATTTTATCATATCTAGCTGGTGTGTTTTAGACTTCATGTTAGTGTTTGTTCTGTAATGTTCTCAACTGAAGTCAGATACATTAAGAGAACAGCTGTGTTTATGCTGAGATTATATTAGAGACTGTATTTGCTTATTAGTTGACTTCTGTAGGCCTTTGGATGTATTGGATTTGATTTTGTGATAAAATCTTAATAAAAGCTGAATGAAAGATCCAACAAAATCATGGTGTGTAATTACACCACGACATAGAGGAGTAAAATGGAAATGTCCTGGTGCACTTTTCAGTTTTTTATTTGTAAAAGTTTTGAAACCAGGTAGTAGTTTTTCCCCTCACAATTGCTTCCTACTTTTTTGTTGGCCTTCCACATCAAATCTCAATAAAACATTTTAAAATCAATTTATTTATTTATAATGCTTAATTATTTGTATCTCTATTTATATATTTATTTATTCTCCACACCACAGTGAAATATAAGAACACAAAAAGTACAGTATGATTACCAATTTAAAAACTAAAAATAATCCAATGGAATCAGCTGTTTCAATCTCTGTTATAGCATATTTCAGACAGGGGGTGTATCAGAGTAAAGGTCACATCTGTGACAAGATGTGAAAGTGTGAAGGTTACATTATGAATAATTTTACAAGGTATTGTTGTTCCAGACAGGACTGAACAAAAATAAAGCACATACATTTTACACTATTTATTTTATAAATAGTGTAAAATGGAAAGAACAAATAACAGGTCTTTATCTGAGTTGGTAGGAGTGCTTGTCTGCTGACAAGCCCATCTAGGGACAAGTGCTGCAAGTTTGCTTTTGCTATAAGCACTGTGATGCAAACATGGGACTGCTGTTCTGTTCAGTTTGCCTATGTCGATGTGTTTCTAATAAACCTAAATTAAATTAACCAAGTGTGGGGTCATGGGTCTCTTATATTTCTGTTTTGGGGTTTAGAAGCTTAAATCTTTGTAAATCCCTGGTACAGATAACATACCTGACTTTATCTGAGGTCTATGTCTCTGGAATATTTCCCCATGTTTTCAGTTTCTACTTAAAAGGTGTTTGTTTACTAACAGAAAATTTTGAGCAGTAATACTAAGTATGGAAAATAACAGATAACAAGTGAAAAGTCAGTGGTTTGGTGATGTTACAGGGAACAGCGGTTTTCTCTCAGGCAAAGTTGACAGACCTGTAGCACTTGTGGAACTTGAGAAACTTTTCCATGCAAACGTACCTCTAACGGCTTCATAGTTGTTCACATACTTCACCTGGACACTCTGCAACCTTGGAGATATTTTTCAGTTGTTTATTTAGTTTCAGGTATGAGATTGAGCAAGGATATTTGTCATGACATCATAGACTTAGTACATTTTGTGACTGTCTACATATAAGGTAACAGTTTGATTTAACTCATACCACGGTTAGCTGTCACCCTTTAGGTATGTGGATTGTTAATGCTGATTAGACATTTCTTTTTTCTTTTTTTTTTTTTTTTAGAATACTTTATTTTGGATTTTTAGTAATAACATCACAAGTATGAACTGACAGGACAAAATTGATTCACACCTGATTAGACATTTCTCAATGAAAGCTATAAAATTATTAAAAGGTTTTTGTTCATTCCTCTGACTTCATCTTTTGATCTTCTTGGTTAATACAACTGATAACATAAAGTAAGGCATTGTTCCCTTGATGAATGAGCTCATGAAAAGCTGTCACTGAGAAAGACTAAAAACCTTCTTGAAATGCCAAACATTAAGTCTGTCAGCTTTCATTCTTGTTTTGAGATGGTTTGTGGTCATTAGAGTGAAACAAGGCTTGTCTTTGTTGTGCTCCAGTCACAGAGTTTACAGGGAGGCAGGTTACAGATTCCAGTTTGAACCAGAGAGCGAACCAGAGAAGGCGCGTCTCCACTCAAAGTGGCAGGGGGAAGGGACAGGTGTGAATGTTTTCATAGTAGGAGCCTCGTCACTCGCCCTAATGCATTCCAGCCTGCATCACTTCAGCTCAAAGGAACTCAAACCACTGACAGACGTAGATCACTCTCACATGGTGCCCAGTCAGCGACGCTGGATAAAGCTAGATTTTGTACAGAGATCGTAATTCCCGGATTGCTTTGGCCGTGTGGACATGGGAGGCAGAGAGAAGGTAGAGCTGAGCAGAATGGAGCCCAAGATGCATTTTTCACACTTAAGGTTAAATAATTTCAAGCTTCGGCTAGACCATAACCCTACGTGTGAAAAAAAGCGCATGAAGAAGACAAGCAGCAAAAAAAAAGCCAGGTGGGTGTTCTAAGGAGAGTTATTGCTGGAGAATGTTTCTGGAGAAATGTATACATGTGTTTGGTTTGGTGAATCTCTGTTATACAAGTGAAGTTGCATAGATGATAGCTGGAATGATGTGTCATGAAGCAAAAGAAGTGCAACATGAGAAGAAAGCCCAGCTGTAATGTTCAAAATTTAAATTGTGTGCTCCGTTTTATCCAGTCATTTACTTAAATAGATGTCAAGTTGTTGTTACATAATGGCTTCAGAGGTTATTAAAGAAATATTATGATCCAAGTGTTAAAACTAAAACTTCTTTGGTGGTGGGAGTTGTTGTTATTTTTGTACCTACTTTTTTATGCATATTGGTCTTATATTCTTATTCAAATATCACAAGCTCTACTTTATAGCTTATCTTAATCTTTTGTGCTGTTGATTTTTGTTTTCTTTTATATGCTAGGAAATATACTCTACTTTTAGCCTGACTATTGCAGGAATCATGATAAAAGTTGAGAAAACACTTATTAATAGTGTCATTTAAATCTAGATTTAATTTTGGATTATAATTACTTATGACTATGTGTCTAACAATTTAATTATGCAAGCATGCATGTTATTTAAGTGTAAAGAATATGACTGCGTTTCTGCTGGTCATCCTTACTAATTGTAAAGAGAACAATAGTGTCTAAAAATAGCACTAAATATAAACTGAACAGCTGGAATGATTATTATTTTTAAAAAAGTTGAAGTTACGAACATAATATAGATTTATTTTTTTAAAAAGAGGTAAACAGAGACATTTTCCTTTGAATTAATTTATTTTAATGCCATGATTGTTGATTAATTTAATTAACAATCATAGCATTACAAAATTAATAGTTCTTGAAATAATTACTTAAATTAACTAGCTGGGTCAGTGTAATTGCTACAAATCCGGTTCATGAAAACTGCATCATGTTTGGACTGACTTTAAATGTTGCTAAACAAAACCTCAGTTATTTTTATCTTCTTGTACTTCATGATTTTTTTTTTCTTTTTATTTAAATGGATACAAACAGATTGAACTGTGGGGATTTTTTTATCATAGTTATGACTAAACTTTCTCTTTGGCTGAAAAAGTTTAAATCTGCTTATTGGTGATAGAAAATCATATTAATTAGCATTTTCTCAAAACTGAGAGGTTTGTAATGCAATCATAGTGGCCAATGCAATGTCTGCAGGTCGTTTTTATTAATGAGGACTTCTGAAGCCTTACTGCTAAAAGTTAATCAAGGTTGAGTATCTTCTGCACTTTAATTGTGCTTCTTAAGCTGCAAATCTGATTGCTATTTTAGGTTTAGTTACTTTTAGTCAGCTCAGTGTGAGGGGAGATTATAAATCATGGAAAAAGGGTGTTTTAATTGGCTGATGAGATAAAACCCTGCTCAAAATGTAACTATATAATAGTCAATTTACTGGATTGACTGACTTCCTAATAACTTCAGTTTAAAGTAAAGGAAAAATAAAATTTGGTTTTACTAGAAAATAGCCTTCTTTATTATATATAAAGTAGGCTTACCATTGTTAGTTCTTTTAGACTATTCATCATTACTTTGATATCTAACAAACGTTTTATTGAAAATTAAATTCTGTTGAAACTCAACCTTCCCCCCTCCATTTCTGCCACCATAAAACTGGTCTAACTAACTTGATTGCATCTTGCTTTGGGTCACTTGCAGCTGGCATTTTCATGCATGCGGATCCTCCTAAGAATACAATAGAGAAAGCATCCCAGTTATTTTCTGCCTCTCATTCCAGACGAAGCTGTAATTGCTTTGCTTCTCAGAAACCCTTTGGTTTGGACTGTTGCCTGAGATTTGCTGAATCAAAGAGTGCCTGACTGAGCGGCGCATCAGCAGAGTGAATCAGCAGAACGCTTCCTGTGTCTGATCAGGAGGTCACATTTTAACGCCTGGGAGTCTGCCCCATTGTTGGTGGGGTGCTTTTGAAAGGACCCTTACTTGAGCAGTGCATTTGTTAAAACAGGAAACTTTCAAGCAGATTGTGTGTCTACAAATCCTAATTACAGGTTTCAGCTATTAGAGCTTCTGTTGTCAGGAAATGCGTGTGTAAGATGGAAGGGTGTGACCTTAAGGAAGGCGATTTCATGTTGTTACAGTGACATCTAGTGGATTTTTTGTGGTACTTTTCCTCCAAGCCACATTTTGCAAGAACAATAGAGACCCCCCTTTGTGTCCGCTCTCGCCATCTCTCTCCTCTCGCCGCTCCTACCTTTTGTCTCTCCATCTTTCTGGTCTCTCCAGGCTAATCCATCTTCTCTTCTCCGCCTCTATCTCTTTCATTTCCCTTGTGTTTTTATGTGCCTTTGTGTCTCAGCTCATTTGTTTGCATGCATGCGTGTGACTTCTTTACGTGTGTGTATGTCTGCACCAGAGATCCCAGCCCCACCGAGATGAGCGTGGAGCCCTGGGCCAGCCCGCAGGACCAGGCAGCCGCTGAGCACGCTCGCAGCAAAAACTCACCACCAGCACAGGAGCAGGAGCAGCCGGATAAACTGTGCCTGGAATCGTTCTGGAGCGAGGTTGAGACCATCCGACAGGGGTGTGGCGAGGCGGATCTCGACCCCACCAGGAGAGACTCCAGACAGTCAGAAGGTAATCACTGTGATTCTGCTGCAGTCTCCTTAAGGATTGAGAGAAAGAGGAGAAGCAGGATTTTTTTTTTTTTTTTGTCAGCGTTGTAACGAAATAGTCTTTCTGAGATCCTCTGAGCATCCATATTGTGCATTTACCATGGCAACGAAACAGGATGTTTGCCTCATATCAGTGATGAACACCATCAAACACACTGAAGAAAAGGAGCATTTGAGCAGAGGACAAACGGCCAGACACAAATGCTGATTTAATTCATGTAAATTTATTTTATCTATTCAAATGGTTAGACCCATTTTTTGGCTTTCAGTTTATTCTTTTGATATTATGTTTTTATTGATTACTACTAAGTTAACATACTGCACAAAAACACTGTTAGTATTTTAATTGAGGTTAAACTACTTTGTGTAGACCAGTGTTTCTCCACCCTGGTCCTCAGCGCCCCCCTGCTCTGCATGTTTTAGATGGGCCTCTATTCCAGAACAGCTGATTCAAATGATTGCATGACCATCAAGTACTGCAGAAGCCCGTTAATCACCCAGAGATACAATTCAGGTGTGTGGCAGAAGGGAAATACCTAAAACCTAAAACATGCAGGACAGGGGGGCGGTGAGGACCAGGGTTGAGAAACACTGGTATAGACTGTATTTAGAGTTCAAGACAGCTTCCTTTTTACATATTACTAGTTTCAAAGAATCCATGAACAGTTTGATGCTGGATTCTTAAATTATTTTGCAAAAAGACAAACCAGTGAAATAAGGTGTATAATGCTAATTGGTCAAGTTGCCTAAGGAACTTATCCTGTTGCATAATGTGTGCTCATTTAAACTGTTACATTCTCAAAAGAACTAACAGTTTTATGCTGTTTCAGTAGTTTTCAATGCTTTTAGAATGAGGTGCTGGAAACCCTTTGCTCATACTTACAACATAATTGGCTGTTTATCTGTATTTTGATATCACAAACATGGACATGTCCTGGTTTAGAAATGATGGGGGTGCCAACAATCACTCCTATAAGGTTTTGAAACTGTAGGTGGGTATGGTTGGGATGTAAGCCACCAACTGGAGGTTGTCTAGCCAAGCAGAGAGTCAACAAATTAACCAGCTAATATTGGCTTTATTTATGTTACTCTTTACAGAGAAAAATGACAGAAAGGTGTAATTTTCTGTACTGTAAGTGTGTTTATTTGAAAATGAATACTACTTTTAGCAGGAGTTTGTACTATATTTTTGCTTAACTCAAACACGTCTTTTAAATAACATTATAATAATAGTTAGAATCAGTATGTTGTATTATTCATGCAGCATCAGGAATAATAGTTGCATGTCTGTTTGAAATAAAAGCAGTTAAATTGTTTTCTGGAATCTTATGCTATACCCTGCCTGATGTTCTGCATGCTCAAACATTTCTTCATCCCCCTCATTTCCATTTCTTTTGGAACATATTTACATCGCCATGCCTTCTTGGTCTTCGTGTCTTAGAGGGGGAACAGGAGGAGCAGTGGCTGGCCGATGCTGGCTTATCGACCCTTATCAGCGAGGACAGCGAGGATGTAGACAAGGCCGTGCTGCTCTCCACTCTGACCCGGACGCAGGCGGAAGCTGTTCAGCGTCGCCTGGATTCCTACACGTTATCCCGTCGCAAAAAGAACAAGCTGCCGCCCAGAGACGTTCGGGACATCTTCAGCTCCCCCATCACTCAGGTAGCAACGCAGAGAGCATTGCACAGCTGAAATGTTTTTTGTTTTACTTATTCTGTGCTCCATAATATAACACTCACACTGATTTATGAGATGTCTATTTTTAGCGTTACTATGAAAAGTATGACATCAAAGCTTTTAGCCTGTTTGTGTCAGAGGCAGTAACACAAAAAACAAGCTGAAAAGAAATTATGCATCTAATTTTATCATTAATTGAGAACCATCAGAGACTTTTTATTCCAGTGTTTTGTTCTGTACACCAAGACTGACCTATAACAATAAAGGCAAATCGCATGTAAAGGCCACTCTTTGTCCTCGGGGCTTTCTGTTCGACAGAGGGGACAGGAACCAGGTTCCTCAGATCATTGTCAGGGCTTTATCAAAGGAAACACCCTGTATTCCTGTGTGCATTTACTTCCCTGCAGCAAACCAAGTAATACAGAGTTGATATTTAAAACTGTGGATGAAGGATTTTTGTAGTAAGTCAAACCTCTGTCCCTCCAGGCCCTGCTGCCAGAGTCTCAGAACAGCAAAGACCTTCCTCAGAAGAGTATGGCATCAGTTGCCAAAATGCCTTTCTCAGGTAAGAACAATTATAATCAGTTGAAGGGGGAAAAAAGAAGATGTATAATCCTTTCAAAAGGATGTGCCACATGTCTTACAAATTATTTAGAGTTTCCTGAAACATTTCAATGAACTTAAGGTCTTCTGATTTTACTGGTTCAGATTAATCCATGTTTAACCTTTCAAAGTGTTGTGCCCCTGTGATGGGCAAAAAATCCTTTAATTATTATATAATCAATTCATTATAAAAAAAATGACTGACATATAGTCAGGACACAATAAGTGTACGAGATAAGTGTCTATCTACTTCCTTATCTCATACACTTTGTTGTTCTTGTATGATGAATTTTCCTTCCTTGTACTCCCTTGCATCGCACATGCATGCTGAGTATTTTTCCTTTAAGACATTACTGCAGCAGACTTCCTTCACTAAAATAATAAACCAACATGTTTGTGTGTTTAGCAGTGTCACCGGAGCATCAGCGGGCTGCCCCTAAGGAGGAATTCCTCATCACTGACATTGCTTACTGTGAACAAGCCGTGATTTTCATTAAACAGGCCAATTTTCCACTGAACAACATCCCATACAGGAAAGAAGACGGCACCCTGCCTGTGAGCTTGCTTTTAATATTTTTTTGTAATCCTTTTTTGTTCTGTTTTGTTTTTGTTTAAGGAAGTCTTTTTAAAATGCCATTTCCGTCTGGAAAGTTTACCTGCCACAATTAAATGTAAGAAAAACAAATACTTTAAAGTAAAATGTCAACTGAAAACTGACTTGTACCTAATGACTTTTCGCCAGACTGAGACCTGTGCTTTGAAATAAACTATTTAAAAAGTAAATAACTTCAGCACATTATACCATTATGTACTACTACACTGTTTTCACTGGCTCTATAACTGGATTTTTCAGTGAAAATCCAGTTTTAAAATCATTAAAAGGCTAAATGTATAACATCAGAATGGGACTTTTAAAGCAAGTTTATGCAAATTGATTTAATTTATTAAGTGTATGTTTGAGCTTTTTTAAGTTAATGTTTGGTTGGGGGAGCTACTATTTTTGTGCTTAGTGTTAATATACCAACATTTTAAAATTTAAACTCAGTCAGAATTTCTACTATGTCAAAAACCTATAGTTTAAGATTTGTATGTTCTAGTTTACTTCAAAATCTTTTTGTGTCTGCTTAGCTAAACTAGAACTCACTAGTCGCTACTAAACGTATTGAAGAATTGTATTTATTTTTAGAGAAATTACTCTGGGCTACAGTCCCAGCTTGGATGAATGGGATTTTGAGTCATAAAGGGTTTAAATTCTTATGCAAATTTGACAATAATATTCACAAATATTGCTACAAGTAATTTTTAATCCACCCCTGGTCAGGATTAGATAATGAGGTTGAGATCTTAAGAAATTAGCGGAAAACAAAGGTTGTTGCGTCAGAGTCCAGCGGATTTATGTTTTTCTGTTTCAGGCTAAATAGATTTCCTCTGAGTAAGAGCCGAGTTATGGGCTTTGGTGAACTGATGGTGTTTAATATGACTGGAATCCTCTCTTCTTGTCATTTCTTATTTTTTATGCATTGTTTATGCTTTCTCCGTCTCAATTTTTCTTTTTCTTTCTTTCCGTCCACTGTAATGTCCATAGCGGGTGATCTGCCCCAAGTGCCGCCTCGGAGTGACTCGTATTCAAGATCTCTCCCACGCTGACATGAAGAAGGTTCGTCAGTTGGCTCTCATCGACATGACGGCGCTCTGCGACCTCTTGGAGCTGGAGGTTAAAAGGCACAAGACTGGGAAAAGGAAAATCGCAGGTGTGACAGCTCTGCTGAGTTAAATGCTCACAAGAAATAAACATCAAAACTGACTATAGATAGGATTTATCCTCTCTTTGTTTAAAGATAAAATCTTAGTTAGAAATTTGTCTACTTGTAGTGAAGTTAGTTACTAAATATGGAAAAAAATAATATACAAGAGAAAACCCAGCTCACTCTTTTCTTCTGTTGTTTTGGACTGAGGTTTTGTGTACGAACCTCACGTTTGATGTTTGAATCTGTTACAGAGAGCACGCTGTTTGGGGTACCGCTGTCCACGCTGCTGGAAACCGATCAGAAAATCAGACCAAACACCTCAATTCCTCTCTTCCTGCACACGGTATGTGTCTGTCTACTGCTCACGCATAACTGCGCTTTTCCCTTTGTTGCTTTGTAAATTAATAATTTTGGAAGCAATTTGCCTGTACTGGCACACAAATGAACCAGAAAACTTTAAAAATCTGAGCACTTAGCGGTTTGACCACGCCCTGTCTGTAGAGGCAGTTACTGACTCTGACCAGCAGAGGTGAGCAGGAGAGTCGCTTGATTTTTGATGTGTGGTTCTGCTTTTTGTGCAGCTGCTGTCGTTTCTGGAGAAGAAAGGAGTCGATTCAGAGGGGATCCTGCGGGTTCCAGGATCTCAGTCCAGGATAAAGGTACAAGTTCTCACCCATTCAAAATGAAGTGATCCTCATGCTCGTCAGAATACTGATTATTTCTGTGAAATATCAAAAATGCTTGAATGTCAATTGGTTTTTCAAAGATTAACTAGACCTGACATTTACCGTAACGAGGCCCAGTAAGACAGAATCAATGATATATTTTTTTTTTTGTTTAGCAGCCGCAGCCAAGTGGCCCTTTACTATCCTGTACTTATTTTCTTCATTTTAATACAGCAGTTAAATGAGACCAGCCACCAGAGGGCGCCAGTTGGCACTAAATCACTGAAAGAGAGAATAACCAAGAAAGATTGATAACCTAAAAGTGTATTTGCAAACAATGCTGTCTTTGAGACTTTTATTAGATATAAAATTTTTCATTTGTACTACACAGCATTGACTAAGCTCAAAATCTGATATTGTCCCTGTTTGAAGACTACTCTTTATCACAAATACATAAAAATAATGTAGTATTCCAGTTAACTAAAGTCGTTGCCATTTTAGAAGAGTTCTCAAAACTAGATATTAAAAGACAGTTTTTATAGGACATTATAAGAGAAATCAAATAAGACGGTGAACTTTTTTTCTATTAAAAGCAATTAAACCAAACGCAGCAAAGACACATTGCAAGACATAACTTTACCTACACTTCTCTGTTTATTTTCATATTTGATGTTTTTATGATGCTGATATCACTCGCTGTCTGCAGCTGCTACAGCAGAATCTGGAGGCCAATTTTTACAGGAGCCGTTTCAACTGGGATGAAGTGAGTCCAAATGATGCTGCTGCCCTCTTGAAGAAGTTCATCCGAGAGCTTCCTGACCCGCTGCTCACTGCAGAATACCTCAACACCTTCAGCGCCGTCAGAGGTCAGTGGGCTTTAATCGGCAGATCTAACTGGGTCTGTTGCATATTTGTAATCCCTGTTGTGTTCCTTTTAAGATGGTGAACAGTACCAGAAAAAGTAAACACTTGACAATGTATTTGATAGTATCTCATATGTTGCTGTATAATATAATGATATGCAATATTTCTTCTTTCACTTACCCGCACAATAATCTGATGGCCACATTTCCTGACTTCTGGTCTGGGTTTTTGTAATCACTTGCGTCTCCTTTATGGGGATGGCGATCCTTTGTGGTCCTTATCTTTTCTGTTTCAGCTTGGAAATCAATCTTAAGATGAACAAGTTGATATCTTTAAAATACATCCAGTTCACCACAAATACAAAAATGCACAGCATCTTCAAAATTCAGCTTTTTTCACAGGGGTTTGACTTTATTAATAAAAGAAAAAAACAAAAAAAAAAACTGATTAATATTAATTTCATCTGACTGATGGCAGCTGAGCTGTGGTTTGTAAGCAGGATCAGTGCAAGTGATAAACGACTCATGACCACAGAGACATAAGCTAACAATCCTAATGGCTGCTGGTCACAATGCCATTAATCTCTGGACATCCCATTACTCTTAGTCAAACACAGAGGAAATGAGCAGTGTGTGTGTGTGTGTGTGTGTGTGTGTGTGTGTGTGTGTGTGTGTGTGTGTGTGTCTTTCTTACCTTGTTGTTTTGTTCTCCAGATATCACAGAACTGAGGCAGAAACTGCACATGTTGAACCTGCTCATCCTGCTGCTCCCTGAGCCTAACAGGAGCACACTGAAGGTAAACGCATCACAACTCCTCCTGAAGACTTTGATTGATGGCTTCACAAAGAAAAACACATAACATTTGTTCATTCAAGTGTCGTTCTTTTGAGATATTAGTTTGGTGCTGTCACAACATCTAGCTTGACAGACAGGGAGATGAGTCTGGAGAGGTATAGACAAAGTAAATAGAGTTAAGGAGCTTTATTCTATTTCAGGACTTTATTTCACTTGTGTGAAAGATTAATCCATCCATTTAAATTGTTTTTGTACTAGTAAAAATCTGCAGTGCGACATACATTTGTAACATCTCAGTATTAAACAAAAATATAGCAATTACCCGTTTTCCTGATATTGCTCTGACCTGCCCTCCTTTTGACATTTGATAACTTGTAAAGTTCCTAATTTGAACGTTGCGTTTGCAGCAATAATAGTGTCTGTAGTGAGTAAAACACTCTCAATGTTCCTTTTAGTCAATGACCCCAATGTGAACTTTTAACAGCAAATAGTAAGTATGCTGGCTGTAACCCACTGCAGTGTTTTTGACGGAAACATGACCCATTTAACCAAAGCATGTTTCATAATGTCTCTGTTTTAAACGCTCTCCTCTGTTATATAATGTTCCACATCTGTCGTGACCAGCTTTTACTAATCCAGCTACGCGGTCAATTCTACGTATAGCAAATGAGAGGAGCACAAAAGCCACCTGCACCAACTTCTTCAACTCCACTTGAAGCAGCTGAAAATAACTTGCCGAACCAGTTTAGCAGAGTTGATAGGATTCCTTCTCATAAACAGTTCACTCTAACATCATCCCTGCCTCATTTAATTGGGCTCATTTATGTTTCGTTTCTGCCAGGCCCTGCTGGAGTTTCTCAGTAAGGTGGTCAGCAGAGAGAAGAAGAACAGGATGAACCTGTGGGCCGTGGCAACCATCATGGCTCCCAACCTCTTCCTCCATAAGGCTGTCCCGAGCCGACTGACGGATGGGGCAGAGAAAGGACAGGCGGAGAAAGCAGCTGATGTGATGAGGCTTCTCATTCGTTACCAAGACCTCCTCTGGACGGTGAGAAGAATTATTTACATTAGCCATGACACGCCGGTTGTCCAGTGTGAATCTACACCAAAGCTGTTTGAAAGCTTACAATTCTGGAGAAAATTTTTAGTTTATATTTGGCATTTTATTTCACTTTCATATAACTAGGAATATCCTATATATTAACAGAAACCTGTTTCTGCAGCTCATGGGAGGCAGTTTGTCAATAACCTTCCTCAGAGTAGAAGTGTGCTGTCATCTGCATAAAGAAGCACTTTTTCTGTAGATTTGTTCTCTACATTGTTGTTAGTAAAAGTGGAAAATAAAATGGAGCCTTGGATTAAGCCTAGGTGGACTTCTTTTTAAATGTAGAGGGTTGTTTGGGTGTTTGTAATCTCCATACAGTGTTTATTTGTAGGAATGCTGATTCATGTTGCCCTTCTCTCCTCAGGTTCCAAACTTCCTCATGAGCCAGGTGCGTCGGCTAAATGAGAACAGTAACCGGCGCTATCAGTTCAAGAACCTGCTGAGAAAGATCCAGCCGGACAGCAGGGAAAAACCAGAGAAAAACTCAGAGGTGGGTTTGTTCAGCAGCTCTGTTGATTTTAAAACATTGTATAACCACTGGAATCCCTTACAACGTTTAGGTTGTTCTCCAATGTTCCATCCAAACTAAATATTTGTTTCTGTTCTTTAGCCACGTCGCACTATAAAAATCCAGGTGGGAGATTTGGTGAACGGCACAATGGAGTTCCAGCTCAACATTAACTGCAGAACCTCGGACCTGCTCGCCCAGTTTTACCGCCAGTTCCTCCGCAGCCCGGAAAATGGAAAGGGGAAAATGCGAAGGTGTGAGACTTATTCAGGTTTAAATTACACTCTCAAGTCATCGAGCTTTGACACATGAGATAGAATCTAAATCTTCCTGTTAAGATTTAGATTATTTTTGTGTCAATATCATGTCTGATGTTTTCTGTAAGAATTTAACTTGTACGCATTATATAACTCTTTACATAATTGTTTCCTGTTAACAGAAACGGCTCAGTGGGATACCCAGACTGCGCCCTGTATGAAGTAGGAGGGAATATTGGTGAGTTTTTTTTTTGTTTTTTGTTTTTCTCTTAAGAGCAACGATAGCATTTGCTTGTCTTTCTGCTCACTGAACTGATGAGAGTTACAAGGTGAATTGTTCAGGAGATAAAGAGACATGAAGTGTGCATCTGCAGTCATCAGAGCAGATAAATGCTTATAGGCATGTCTGTGCATTCCCATAAGTGTTTTCTGTGCAGCAGAGAGGTTTTTTTGCATTAGAAAAATCTTTAAATTTTATTGTTTGGACTCACATGAAAGATAAAATGAGTTTAGGTCTTTTTTTGTTACTGAAGATTTTAAATCTACAATGTAAACTAAATAAAAAATGACTTTTTTCCATAGTTCTGCTATCTGCAAATTCAGACAGCTATGAAGTTTGCTGCAAACTCTAATTTGCGGTTAAGTGTAGTTTTGTGTGTATCTACAGGAGAGCACTGTTTGGACACCGAGACGCATCTCCTGGACCTGTACAACAGTAACCCTGGAGGTGAATGGGTCATCAAAACGAAGCCCAACGGAGGCAGAGGGCAGTGACACGGAGCCTGCTGGACAACTGATGGACAGATCGAGGAACAGATTTCAGAGGAGAGATGAAGATCTCTTCTTAAAAGCTCCTCACAGCCCCTGCTCTTCCTCTGAGCAACAAGCAGGAAGGGGGGACAGATGGAGCCGACAGAAGCATTCATCTGCCTGGAGCAGAGTTGAGAAATTCTGATCCCTGCTTTTTGTCTCCCTCTTTGCATTTTTTTTGCTCCATCTTCTCCTCCTCCTTCCTCTCTTTGGACGATCATTTCATTGGTTGCTGCACTGCTGCAAGCAAAAAGCTGCTAACATGACTCATTACTTCAAGCGGAGAACCTGCTGCACAGAAAACAAAACGGAACAGCGAAGAGACGGAGGGAGTAGCCGGACAGTTGGCTTTGACGTATTTTCTCTGAAGCAGTCGTCTCCAGCTACAAGCGAACAGATGGGGATGCAGAGAACCTCTAGCTATCCTGAGCCCTCCACTCACCTCGACTTCACCTCATACCAGCTTCTGCTCCACATATACGTTTTTGTGGTTTTACTCCAAAGGGAATACAAGGATTTAGGGGTTTTCTGTTTATATTTTAAAAACAGGACCCAAGTACCCAATATGTGTTAGTATTTAGTTAAGGTAAATGTTTTAAAGAAAAGCAGAACAAAAAAAATCTTCCAGCAGATGGAGGTAAAATTTTACAAAAAACAAACAACATAATGCCTTTATTACCAGAGATCCACCAATAATTCAGAGATCTAAATTTGACAATTTTTCTTCAGTGGGCTATTATCAGTGAACTGCAGGTCAAATACTGGGAAATCAGATTATTTCCCCTCCATTTCATTTAATGCACCAATCTAAGGACTTTGTCTAGATCCTAAATACAGTATTAAAAGTGTTTCAAACTGAATTCGATAGATCAGATATCAGAGAAAATTGAAAATTGGTATTGGCCAGGAAAAGTCTGACTGCTGCATCTCTACTGTATTAATTGACTTTATTGTTCTGCTCCTGCAAAAAGGGGAATAATAATTCAAATCATGCCAGAGAAATAAGAGATCCCTTCAGTATTGCCTGTCATTGTTCATGATTTAGAAACAGAAAACCCCTGTGTCTTTATTTCCTCATGCCAAACAGGATGAGAAAATGCTAAAGATGGAGGGCAGAAGAAGATAACTATGAAATGTTCTTAAGAATCATCCAGATCAATTAGTTAATTATCCTCATCGACCACTTGTGTTTCTCAGCTACTTTGTTGATCTGTGGCATTCAAAGAGAGGAACTGACTGAACTGACACCTTTTATCCATGAAGCTGGCTCAACTTTGGACCTAAAAATGATTTTGCCTCATCGACGTGTTTGGTGACAGATTTTGCACCTCAAAAGGGAGTCGTTAAGGACACGCTGAAGCTGGTCTTCATTTGTCATTTTTGACTACATGAATGAAGGAAAACGGTGCCGAAGTGACTCTTAAGGCACACTGACACTATTATAATTATGAATTTTATTTATATGATTGTAACACAGTTGTTGCTTCGTTGTGAGTGTTGTGTTAGATAGATACTTGAGGAAAGCTGGCCCAGACTCGGTATGGGATCTTTCATACTTTTTAAACGGATCTCTTTAAAGCTGTAAGTTGAATGCTTTTCCTGTGTAAATGTGCCGTGATGAGAAGCAGGACTGTCGCTTCTTGAAGCTTTTCCAAACACACACGAGCAGCAGATGAATGTTTTAACATTTTGTGCCGATCGTCAGAAGGTAATTGTTTTTTTTCCAGCCGGAGCCATGTTGTGGCGCCGCGGCCATTTTGTATGGGGAGAGTGTCTCTCAGGCTGCACTCGATAAACGTGGTAGTGACAGCGGGCCCCTGCACCAAAATCCATCAACGCCCTCTGCTCCATCTCTGTCAGCTCCCCATAATGCGCCATAATGACGGCATCAGAAACGCACAGAGGAATCGCATCTCTCTGATAAAGCAGAGGGTAATAAATGGGTGCTATAAATTCTTCCCCCTACATGGACTCAACAACAGCACTCTGTTTGCGTGTGTGTGTGTGTGTGTGTGATGGGCTTCATTACACATGTCCAACGGACCAGTCGCCCGGTCTGCACAGGCACAGTTCGTCGCTTCGGCACAAAGCTAACTGATGGGACGGCCTTCTGCTGAACGGCATGAACAGACCACAAAGTGGTGTCACCTCTTTTCAGTACAGGAAACTATTTTTGTCTTTGTATATACATGAATGTGTGTGCATGTGTGTGTGTATGAAAGAAGCTCTGAGACAGTATTAGCAGAAAATTGAATGAACTTCTTGCCGATTTCTGGTGTAAATCCTAGACGTCAGCCAGCGGACGTCCGAATGTATATTTAAGCTCTTAACATTGTTTTTAACTTGTCTGTGAAAATACTTTTCTGTAGAAAGGAAAAACTTTTGAAAACTGTTCGATTTTTGGCAATAAACGTGAGCCTAACGCTGTGCTAAGCATGATTTATTTTTTCATTATGAGTGGAGGGGTATGGTGGGAAGATATCAGGAAAAGCCTCATTCATCAACCAGTTGCATTTGTAGCTCCAGAGAAAGCAGAAAAACATGCATGTGTGAAAACAAAGGAGATTTAGAGTGAAGTATTGGTTTATTCTGCTTTTCTAATCAATAGAGAAATTAACCTTGTAATGTGTTTGCGGGTGGAGCGGCCAGAGCTGCTCAGGTCTCTGATTAATCATCAGGAGAGCTCCTGGAAAAAGAACATTTGTGACTAACTGCTTCATCAACTTTGATTATTCAAGGTCTCAGGCTGTCCATGCACGAGCCAGGAAGACAAAAGAACCAAAATGATTGCGTCATTCTGCTTTATCCTTACAAAGCCTGAACTCTTCCGCAGTTTTAGTGGCCCTGTAAGTTTTACATATAAAATAAACAATATCTCCAGGCGTTTATTTTACAGATGTGTTCATGTTCTCCCTCCTTGTGTGCTGCGTTCTTTCTTTTTGCCTTACTGAAAGCAAACCAAATTGCATCCAGCTCCAGCAGCCAGCCTGCCAGACGCAGCCCCCTTCGGCCTGCTGCAGATTTAAATTACTGTAATCAGTGGATGAATAGCAATCAGCAGCCTTGTATGAACTGCTGGCAGAACGCCTGACCCCCGGCTCTCTCCACCAATCAGACAGCAGCATCCCATTCATAGCTAATCACCACGTGCGTAGATAGCTTCACCACTTACCTACCTCACATGTGACGGAGGAAGCTCTTCTTCTCTGTCTTTTTGTGTCGTTGCTGACCGGATTGATGGGGGGGATAACGTTTAGAGAAGAAGCTGCTTCCTGAGGTGGCAGAGTGCGGTCTCTGAGGAAAAGAGTTAAAAATAAAGTCTTTATAGTTTCCTTCTCCAGTTTTGAATGTTTCGTTTCTATGTTTTTTTGTTTTTTTTTCTGGTATTACTCTCAAAGTTTTAACACGGGCAGTTGCACAGGGTGCCATTAGTGGGTTGGGTGGTCACATGGGCAAGTATTAAATAAAAAGGTTTTTATTGCATTTTTTTCACGTGCAGTCAGTGAGGAGTTATGTGTTGGCATTAGAGTGAGCAGGTTACCAGGCTAGGCTGCACAGCAGCTCCCCCCTCCCACACTGGAGAGGATTTCCTGGTTGTTTAATATTTCTGGGCTTTCGGAGGCGACTGGTGATTTCAATCAGACTAGCAAGAAGCGCCTCAGTGCTATGTTGAGCAATGTGCAACCAGGAAATTTCAAGAAATTACATCTTCACAGGCGGTATCAGTATCTGTTCATGTTTACGTCATGGAAACAGCCATGAAACAAACAGGCACCATATTATAAGTAACAAGGACGTGCAAACTGTCCAGTGAATCCACATGCATGAAAGCATTTCAAAACTTGTTCAATACACATCCGAAAAGAGAGGGATACATTTTATTTATCCTCTGATTGTGTGTGTGCCCCTTTCTAATGACACTCTGGGCATTTGTCAAAAACCTCCACTTATTATGAATATGAAATTTTATCGTATTAAAATCAGACAGAGCAGCAGTGGCTTGTTTTTGACAAAACATAAATGCGGACTGGGGACAAAAATGTATTTAGCAGAAATGACTATAGACCTTGCAAAATGTTGTTTTATATTTATATTCTGAATTTTAAAAGAATGAAGATTTAACCCACATCTGGGTGAATAAAGTGGCCGACTTTAGCAAATGACAGAAAAAGAGAGATAAGGCATGGATGGGGAATAAGTGGGGCCACAAACCCGTCCACCATGGCTGACGACGCCTCTGTGTCGAGCCTCCCACCCTCCCTTACACTCCTCTCTCTTTCTTACCCCCTGCCTCCGCCCGACTCCTACCCACGTTCTCCTCCCTGCCAGGGGTGGATCCCAGCGTTTATCTCCACCATCCAGCCCCGGTGTCTCCTAGCAACAGAACATGGACCATTTAACTGCTCCAGCATCCCTCGTTTTATCCAGCCAGTTCAAACATACAATATGCCAACTGCCTCTCATCCACGTTTTGTGCTTTTATTTCCCGTAAATTCTCCTCTGGGTCTGTTTGTTGGTGTTTTTCTTGTTCTACTTGTCTCCAAGGCAGGCCTGCGGCCCTCAAAGCATATCAGTGCCACACTTGAGGGCAGACAGACAGCCAGGAGAGGCTTTTCTGTCAGGATGTGTCTCTCCAGGAACCAGCAGGTGCACACACACACACACACACACACACACACACGCACACACAAAATCAATGGGGAAAGACATGACTTGGCCCTCAGTTTGAAAGGCCCTCGCAGAATCAATTAGCATTGAGATTAATGAAGCGCGTAATGAAGAGAGTGCTATCGCTCCTGCAGACAGGCAGAGAGATGATTGTGAATCTGCGCGAGGAAGACACACGCTGAAAAGGAACATCAAAGATATTCAAATAGCCACTTTGGCCTTTATGTTTTGCAAGAAAAGAGCCAAATTAAAAGCAGCACCGTTTTAAATAAACCTGCAATGTGTATGTAGATTAATATAATCACATTTACATATAAAAAGTGTCATTTAATACAACACATAATTAAAGATAAAATGATTGCATGGAAAGAAGGTTATTTTTATCTCTCGGTATCCATCAGTGCTAATATGCTGGAAGGAGATTGTTTCCGGAGCAGATAATCCTGAGTGATCCTGTCAAATAAATTCTGCATTTAGTTAAATCTGACCAAAAGGTAATAAATTTACATTTTTAACATGAAACCAGCAGCGTTATCTGTCATCTGCGATAGTCTACAGTATAAACATAAACAAGGCTGAAAATGCCTTTGTTGACTCCACAGGCTCCATATTGTTAGAAATGAGACATACTGTCATTTTCAACAACATGACTGGAGACTGGAGGTGATCTTTTGAACTTTTGCTCCAAATTTGATATTTAATTATTTCATCAGAAGTTTGGGGTTATGAGTCCTACATACTTAGGAAATTGTTCTTTTTTATACATATTACTGACAGTAACAGAAAGCTCCTCAAAATCTGCAACTGCATCCTGGGTTTTATAGTATTTTCCAGTAATCAGAAACACACACTCTGGTTCATGCTCACATAGACAGATGCTCCATCCCCCCCCACAAGTCTCACACACACAGAGAAACATTCAGAGTGACAGTCTGTCTCACGTCGAACAAATCTGACTAAGTAGGCACAAAGCGATGCCTTCACACTTCAAAAGAAGAATTGAAAGGGTTATGTGTGTTTATGCATGCCGGCGCATCATTCTGACACACACACACACACACACACACACACACCTTATCACTACGACACATTGACAATAGACAGCTTTTAGCCTGAAGCGGCATGTTGGTGCAGCCTTCCTCTTTTCAAAAATGCCACTGACGAAGGAGGAAGAGGAGGAGGAAGAGGAGGGCTCAACATGACTCATGACTCTGGACCAATGCCCCCCCAACACACACATATACACAGCAAATGCATCAGTACTCTGACAGTCCTACAACTGGATTACTCATCAAACACACCCACTCCAAACCCTCCAGAGATACATGAGTTTTATTTTGTTGTTACTGTTTATCTTTATTTTTATTGGAGCTACTTCATTCAAAAATGAAAGGGAAAGACAAGAGAGAAAAAGTCATGAAAAAGTAGAAAGAATAGTCAAAAGGAACAATGGGGGAGAGAAAAAAGAAAAGAACAGGAAAGAAAAGAAAGAAAAGAAAAAATAAAATAAAAGGAGAGAAAAGAGAAGAGGAGAAAAGAAGAGACACAAAAAGGAAAGGAAAGAAAATCAAGATGGGAACTAAAAAGTAGTTCTTGTGAAATAAAACAAGAAGAAATAAAAGGATATAAAGTTTGGAAAATCCAAGAAAGAAATGAAGATTGAAAAGGACAAAAATTAGCATAAATACAAAAGGAAAAGCACAAAAGAAAAATAGAGAGAAAACAGAAACGGAACTGAGAAAGCTCCAAACTAAACGACATCCGAAGCTGCAACTATGTCTTTAAAATTTCCAGGTCTTCCTTAAGCAAAAAATCATGATCAAATCTCATGAAGAGCCACGTCCTCTCCACACTCATCATTTCATTGTCTCGGCTGTCTCATTATTTACAACATGAGTGTAAAGAAACACACACAGTAGCGCCCCCTCCTCCTCTGGGGGGGCTTTTCCTGACCGCAGCTTCAGGAGGTTGGGACAAGATGTGGGTGGACAGCAGCAGAGATGACAGCGCCGTGCCGGAGGATACAGTCTGTCTTAGATCTGTGTGTGAGTCATGGCGGGGGGGAAACCCCATGGTCTGATGGTGATGATGATGATGATGATGATGTTTTGTTGTAGCAGACAGACGGGACAGGGGTCTTCATTCAGCTACAGACAGGCTGGGACAGAAGACAGGAAAACAAGCATTCAGCATTTGAAGTAAAGCAAACAAAATTTTGATCAAATAAATCATATACTACATTTATGTTTAATTAAGCACCAAAATAAAAATAATTTGTGGCTGTCTGCAAAAACTGACAAAACACAGGAATTGCATCACTGACTGGCTCACATCTTCCTATAAGGAGGCGTAGCAAAAATTAGAAAGTGGAGTAAAAAAACGCAAAATCATTTTTAGTCCATGTCCTTTTTCAAACAGTCGTTTTACAGCGTCAAGTAAAAAGAATCCAAAAAACAAAACAAAAAAACTTTTGAAAGTTCTTACTATTTCCCAGAAACATATTAACCTTAAAGCGTAATATTTACCCTTTAGGTTAGATGCATATTTTCAATGCTTTTGCAAGAAAATTCAAGTGGAGTTGGGGAGTTCAAGAAATATATAAACTCTTGAAATGTCTTAAAAACATATATTTCAACGGGAAAGTTACGTGAAAACTATTATCCTGCAACTCCACCGAGTTACGGAGCTGAAGGAGAGCAGCAGTGTCCAGGTGAACACGATCAACTGATTAACTATGTTATCACATTGTGAGGGCTGCAGATTTACTGACAGACTAAAACAGCATTAAATGAAATGTGACGAGGCTGGGAGTTGGGAAAAATGTTGGTAAAACGTTCACAGTTTATTCAGTCATAAACTGAAGGGATGGTTTGTGTCAGACAAAATGATTTTTCTTTGATTGAATGACTGTTAAAACCTCAAATATGAGACTGCTGATAAACTTTTATATGTTTTACAGTTAATGTGAGATGTTGAATAAAGGTTAGTCTAACTGATCTCTCTCTCAGTCCAGAAGCAGCTGCTGTGATGTTCAACACTTAACCAGCTCTGAAGCTGCATGAGGTAAACGTCTTACTTCCTCTGTTGCAATTTCAGAACCTCAAGTAGACATAAACATTGTTTTGATTAATTTCCACTCTGAAGTTCTATCATAGTGATCTATGTGTGTGATGCCACTTTGTAAGAGTAAAATTAACATCCCGCCTGGTCCACAACGTGAGGATGTCCCATCAATAAAGTCCTCCTTTATGATGTCATTAATCATCTTCGCTGTAGCAGTCTGTCAGTGATGGATTTAAATGCACCTCGAGACGGTGGGAAAACAAACGCTGTGTTTGCCTCACAGTGAAAGAGGCGGCAGGATCTGAAGATAATAATGAAGAAACGGCAGCTCTGCTCCATCAGTCAGTGTAACTTTCAGTGTTGACTGCAGATTCAGAGCTTTGAGGAAAAATGTAAGCTTTGTGTGTGTTTTTGTTGCGACAGAGGCTTTTACCTGTCTCAGCCTTACGATCGTCATAAGAAATCTTAAAATATGTTTTTTTCCATAAGAGTATCCCATTGCTCCTTTGCCAATACAGATCTGAGTTAACACGATGATGTCAAACTTACTGTGCTTCCTTGCACAGGTTAGGGTAAGTCAACATTTATTCTCGCATGTGAAAATACATGCAAACATATGTGCAATTATACAACCGTAGATATTTGAGAAGCAGAAGAAGAGCTTCTGGAACAACCAACAGGAAGGCAGCAACTGGATGCTGCTCCTCTGAGGTCAGTTACTGATTTTTAAGTCTTTGTAAGGACTGTATGTTGTCATTTAGGTTTTTTCTGGATTATCATTCCTCACAAGCTAAATAGTGCTGGTGATGGCAAAGCAGTGACAAAAATTTTATTGCTATTACTTAAAGTTGCAAGTTAAATTGAGTCTTTGTGAGCAGAGCTCAGCATCTGGTAATGTAATACCATTCCCTGTTGCTAGTCTGCAGTGTTACATCAAGCCTCCTCCTCTCAAAGTCAATCATTCCCTTTCTCTGATTCTTTCTTTGTCTCTCGCTGTGTCTCTCTGTGTCTGAGACATGAGACGACATCAGACACACACGCGAGCACACACACACACACACAAAAGAAAAAAAAACATTCACACTCCTCTCTCATTGCTCTGCCTCCCAATTTTTGTGATCATGGCAACTATCTTGGAATATGGCCTGTGGATACATTCACTATTACCAGGTCACTGCCTCACAGCCTATCTGTCCTCCCATTCACACACACAAACACACACACACACACACATACACGCCCAGGCTCCTTCTAGCCGCTGTCGGCTCTAATCATCGGCCACTGAGGAGGCACAAAGCTTAAAAGAGAGACGAAAGAAAAACTACCATGGCAACAAATTTGAGGCAATTTCAGTAATAATATGAATTAGACTCCAAGCTGAATTATGTTTTGCAGGAAAGGAAAAAGCTCTCCACTTTTCTTTTGAAGCCATGTGAATGCAAAAAAGAAAAAAAGAAAAAAAGAAAACACTGCTGTGTATCTGTTTGTGTGTATGCCTGCTGCTAAATGCAGAAAATCTGAGTTTGATTTTGTCTTTAAGGCAGTTCAGATGAAAACATTCTGCTACAAAATGACCCTGTATCTATTCCAAGATGTCTCCTATATTCATCTGGCCAAAATAGGACACACACACACACACGCACACACAAATATATAGAGAGTAATACACACATAGTTGCTCATTCAGAATGAATGTCTGAGCATAAATGGCAGCTGGCAATACAGGCTTAGCCAAGCATGAAAATCAACATAAATTCCCACTCGGCTGGAGCTCGATGCCCCGATGTGGCGCTCGCCTGCGACCTCGTGTCCACTTTCCCCAGACACCTCTTCACACGGCGGAGCAGAGAGACACGCCACTTCCTGAGGCGGAAGTAATATCTGAAAGCTCTGCAACAGAACAGAGCGGATCTGAGATGATCTAAAGTGGAAGACGGCAACGAATCTGAGATACAGATACTGACATAATATCCACCTCAGCTGTTTGCAGCGGTTAGTTTTTCAGTCTGAGTCTGATACAGGACTTATGAAGATGTATTTAGTGGACAGTAATTAGTCTTACATGCGCAAAGAATTTCCTGTTTCTCTGGTTAAAAACATCCTTTGTCTTTATCATGTTGACATTAAATTTGAATGATTTTGATTCTCAACCACTCACAAAAAAATCAACTGCAGCTGGAATTATATTACACCCTTTGAAAATTATTATTATTATTATTATTATTATTATTATTATTATTATTACAAATTAAAGCATGAAATAATTCAGATGCATGTTTTTTTTTTTAAATAACAATTCAATGGTTTCTGTATTTCAATACAGAAAGTACACCTGGTTCAGTGATTCTGTGTTTCTGGTGACAGTAAATAGTCGCACTGAGTCAGGTTCTCCTGGAGGTTTTTTTTTTCTGTTAAACAGGAGTTTTCCTTTCTACTGTTGCCACATGCATGCTCAGGGGGATTGCTGCAAAAATGGACTTGGTCTAGCTTAGCTACACGCTGATGAAGGAGAAGTGATTGTTGTAAAGTCTGCCCAGTCAACTGGGCGTCCAGGAATAGAAAATGTTTCTACCAGTTGCTGTGTTAACATGTTCAATCAGTTCAAATTACAACTGAAGTCAAGTTTATTTTTTATAGACAAAGTACACTTCCTTGGTGTAATGGTTTTACTGAATCATGTGGCCATTTTCTCAGGTAGTGATTGACTTCATAGTTCCCTTCATACACAACATAACTTAAATAGTCAAGTTTTGGTCTACAGAAGATGTCTCTGCAGCTGGTTGCTCAGGTCTTTAATACCTCCATAAAATGTATACATGAAACGACAGTAGGAGAGACATGGGATCTGGAGATATTGTTCATTGTTCTTACATCACTGATTTACTGTTTGTACAAGGACTCAGTTGTCCCTTTTCTAATCAAGAAAGTGTTTTTGTTTTTTGATGTTTATTTCAAAAGTTTTATGTATTTTGTGCAAAATTGAAGAAAAAAAAAAGAAAAGAAAATTGTTTTTTATTATTAAAATAAAATAAAGAGCATATTTTGAAAATTTACCCATAGCACAAAATCTTCCCAAGTTGGCTTTAAGGCTCTACATAAATTTCATTTTGGATAATAATGGAAAAATAATGCAAAGTTTACTCTCTACCGAGTTAAAAGATGTGTGTGAATTTTAAGTTTTCAAACTTTCAAATAATATTTCCCACATCGTCTCTTTGGGTCCTACATTAACTCATTTACCTTGACAGAGCAGCTTGATAGTAGCTGATGAGATGGGAATCCTAATCTACTGAAAAAAAAGCCCCCGTGATTTCCTTTCATATTACAACAAACCTGTAGTGTCATAAATTTGAAGAGATCTGCAATAGCTGAAGTAGGATTTAGAGGCTCAATAAAGAAAATCATGGATGCTTTTTTATCAGCAGATCGAGATCCTCATCTTACCAGCGACTTTCAAGCTGCTATGTTGGTGTAATTGAGTTGATGTAGGACCCAAAGAGAAGCTGTAGGAATAATAATTTGAAAGTTTGAAAATTTGCAGAAATTGAGAATCAATTAGCCAGAAGAACAAAAGAGCTGCAGGAGGGACAGAAAGTGTGAGAACATCATGGTAACAACAAGAGAATCTGGTGACAAATGAATAAATTGGAGAGCGATAATGGAAGGAATGATTTGTAGAACCAACAGGCTAGTCTAATTAGATCAATGTGCTCCAGCTGTGACGGTTTATGAATTGGGGGGACTGAGGTTACACTACAAAATGGACTGAGAATCAGACAAGAACAGCTTTTTAAAAAGTACCTAAATTCTGTTTTCGTACAGAACAGAATGAATCTCCAGCACTGGCGTTCTGTGACTGCTGGGGATGGGGGGGAAAAAATCTGTGACATGCCTGCATGTCTCTGCGCTGTGCTGCAGCCTGCACTTCTTCCTCTAGCTCCCCCACTGAGGGATGCAGGTGCATCAACCGTGGGTGGGCGCTCGTGATTCCCACATGAGCAGGAATTCAGCCATCAGAGACACGCGCTCGGTCAGAAGCGAAATAAAATGCCAACAGTTGTGTAATCATCTCACATCAGTGAATCATCTGTTGTTTTTCCTCCCCCTCTGACTGCAGACGGGAGCATCAGGGCTGCAATCTAAACATACTGTGCTGCAGGATGAAAAGCGGCAGAGAGGAGGAAGTCGGAGGAGCTGAAGGCTCTGACTTCTCCAGGCAAATCTGCTGCAAAGACACGAGCAAATTTAATCACGAAGGATCATTCATTGTTGCTTTTTATGACTCTTTAAATAAAAGAAATTTTAATGCTATGAACCTAGAGCATCGTTGAACATATTTAAAAG